TGCTGCACAAGACGGTCGTCACCATCCTGGAGGGAATGGGCGAGCCGAACCGTGAGCCAGGTACGATGGCGCTGAGGAGCCGATCGCACTGCATAAGACGTTCGTCGCCATCCTGGAGGGAATGGGGCGATCCGAACGTGAAAGAGACACGATGGCGCTGAGAAGCCGATCGTGCTGCACAAGACGGTCGTCACCATCCTGGATGGAATGGGCGAGCCGAACCGTGAGCCAGGTACGATGGCGCTGAGGAGCCGATCGCACTGCATAAGACGTTCGTCGCCATCCTGGAGGGAATGGGGCGATCCGAACGTGAAAGAGACACGATGGCGCTGAGAAGCCGATCGTGCTGCACAAGACGGTCGTCACCATCCTGGAGGGAATGGGCGAGCCGAACCGTGAGCCAGGTACGATGGCGCTGAGGAGCCGATCGCACTGCATAAGACGTTCGTCGCCATCCTGGAGGGAATGGGGCAATCCGAACGTGAAAGAGACACGATGGCGCTGAGAAGCCGATCGTGCTGCACAAGACGGTCGTCGCCATCCTGGAGGGAATGGGCGAGCCGAACCGTGGAAGAGACACGATGGCGCTGAGAAGCCGATCGTGCTGCATAAGACGTTCGTCGCCATCCTGGAGGGAATGGGGCGATCCGAACGTGAAAGAGACACGATGGCGCTGAGAAGCCGATCGTGCTGCACAAGACGGTCGTCACCATCCTGGAGGGAATGGGCGAGCCGAACCGTGAGCCAGGTACGATGGCGCTGAGGAGCCGATCGCACTGCATAAGACGTTCGTCGCCATCCTGGAGGGAATGGGGCGATCCGAACGTGAAAGAGACACGATGGCGTTGAGAAGCCGATCGTGCTGCACAAGACGGTCGTCACCATCCTGGAGGGAATGGGCGAGCCGAACCGTGAGCCAGGTACGATGGCGCTGAGGAGCCGATCGCACTGCATAAGACGTTCGTCGCCATCCTGGAGGCAATGGGGCGATCCGAACGTGAAAGAGACACGATGGCGCTGAGAAGCCGATCGTGCTGCACAAGACGGTCGTCGCCATCCTGGAGGGAATGGGCGAGCCGAACCGTGGAAGAGACACGATGGCGCTGAGAAGCCGATCGTGATGCATAAGACGTTCGTCGCCACCCTGGAAGGGATGGACGAGCTGAACGTGAGCTGGGTACGATGGCGCTGAGGGGCCGATCGTACTGCATAAGACGGTCGTCGCCATCCTGGAAGGGAATGGGCGAGCCGAGCCGTGAGCTGGGTACGATGGCGCTGAGGGGCCGATCGTACTGCATAAGACGGTCGTCACCATCCTGGAAGGGAATGGGCGAGCCGAACCGTGAGTCTGGACACGATGGCGCTGAGGGGCCGATCGTGATGCATAAGACGTTCGTCGCCACCCTGGAAGGGATGGACGAGCTGAACGTGAGCTGGGTACGATGGCGCTGAGGGGCCGATCGTACTGCATAAGACGGTCGTCACCATCCTGGAAGGGAATGGGCAAGACGAACCGTGAGTCTGGACACGATGGCGCTGGGGGGCCGATCGTGATACAGAAAAATAGTGATGATCATCTCATGGCCCTCGGCCTTTCGGTGATTGGTAATCGTCTCACGGCCCTCGGCCGTGCTGGTGATGTGTCAAGTCTCTCTCCTGATTGGCTGTGAGAAGCCGATCGTCTGCCAGGACTCCATCCGGGAAGGAATGGTGAGCCTGAAATAAATCTGGGCGATGTCCCTTCTACCTGATCTGGGGAGCTAATCGTCGTTCGAGGCAAAAGAAAACCTGATGTTAGCCGATTGTCGTCGGCCACTTCATTCTTCGTACTTAAGTCTTGTAATTATTCTTTACATATGTTTTTCAGTTTGTACTTCACAGCCAATAGTGCCAAGGGATAAAATCATTCTTTGCTCCGTGCTCTTCTGGCATCTTTTTTTTTTTTTTTGGAGTCTTTTAGTCTTCGTTCGTCATTGGTCCTTGGTCCTACCGGTGTTCTTACATCGAAGATATGTTCGGTATCCGCGGACATCGCAATGAGGAACAGGTATATCTACATCGAGATTCCCCCTTTTTCGTTCGTCCCTGGTCCTTTTAGTCTTACCGGCGTCTCTTGCATCGAAGAAGACGTTCGGTACCCAAGGAACTCGCAGTGACGAACTGGTTTACCCTCACGGGTTCCCGTCTTTGTTATCCCACGTCCATCGATCCATGGTCATTGTGGGATGAACAGGTTTATCTTGGCAAGGCTCCCTTGGTTCGTCTAGCCCCCTCCGCGTCTCTACTAACCTCTACATCGAGAGGCGTTCGTCTTCGGCGGTGGGAGAAGATCTGGCACACCCGGGCAAGATTCCCTTCCACATAGGAGCTACCCTCCTCTTCTCCCCATCTTTTTTTTTTTTGTTTGAGGGAGGCAATCTATATTCTTCGTTCGTCCTTGGTTCTTGGTCCTACCGATCTTCCTACATCGAAGAAGACATTCGGTATCCGCGAAACTCGCAAGGAGGAACAGGTTTATCTACATCGAGATTCCCTAGCTCTTCTTTGTCCGTCCCTGGTCCGTGGTCCTACCGATCTTCCTACATCGAAGAAGACATTCGGTATCCAAGAAACTCGCAGGGATCACGGGATGTCACGCATAATGGTGGTGGCATAGCGAACGAATATAATGACGAGGCGATGGAGATGCTGGTCGTCATGCGAAGGCGATGGTCACCCTCCTGAAGGGAGGGGTGAGCCGATCGCTAACTCAAGAAGGTCGGCATTGGGAGCCGATATACAATGATCATAATGTCGATGAGCAGTCGGTCCTGATAATGGAGACGGTAATAGTGTCCAGCTCAGGCCGATATATTCGAGCAACGGCTCTCATCCAACGCAGCGCGGGGATGAAACCGGTCTTCAAAAGATAAATATGTCGTGCCGAGAGGCCGAACATAACATGACAGTGTCGGCAGTGAGAGGCCGACCTGAAAGAATCAAACAACAGTCCTCGTCCGCGAGGTGGCGGGGACGAGGCCGGTCTTCAAAAGGTAAGCACGCCAAGCCGAGAGGCCGGTCGTGGTATGATGATGTCGGCGATGAGAGGCCGAACATGATGTGACAGTGTCGGCAATGAGAGGCCGATCTGAGAAACAAGCATCGGCCGTCATCCGCGAGGAGCGGGGATGAAACCGGTCTTCAAATAAGATAATCATGTCGTGCCGAGAGGCCGGTCATGATGTAATGATGTCGGCAATGATAGGCCGACCTGAAATCCAAGCAACAGTCCTCATCCGCGTAGTGCGGGGACGAGGCCGGTCTTCAAATATGATGGTGGCACTGTACCAGGAGGTCGGTGGCCATGTATGACGTCGGCGCTGGGGCCGATCCAAAGAGAGATAATCAGCAGTCCTCATCCGCGAGAAGCGGGGACGAGGCCGATCTCCAAGTATGGAAAACACGCCGAGCCGGGGGGGCCGGTCATGATATAATGATGTCGGCAACGGGAGACCGATCTGAAATCAAGCAACGGTCCTCATCCGCGCATCGCGGGGATGAGGCCGGTCTTCAAATAAGATAATCACGCGGTGCCGAGAGGCCGGTCGTGATATAATGATGTCGGCAATGAGAGGCCGATCAAGTGTACCCATGCAATGGCTCTCATCCGCGCAGCGCGGGGATGATACCGGTCTTCAGAAGATGATAATCACGCCGTGTCGAGAGGCCGGTCGTGATATGATTGTGTCAGTTGGCCCTCGGCCGCGATGGTCTCCCCCAGGCCTTCGGCCTCTGAATGATGGATGATCGTCTCACGGTTCTTCGTCGTGGCAGTTCCCTCTAGACCCTCGGCCTCTAGGTGTTCTTCCTAGGCCATCGGTCTCTGAGGTGGAGATGCTCGTCTCTCGACTCTCAGCCGTGATGGTCTCCTCTTTAGCTGGCCCTGAACGTCTTCAAGACTCAGGCCGAGCGTCTTTTAATCATTGCGCTCGAGCGCGTCGAGCAGCTTTAGCTGCGCAATAAGCATGATAACGGGCCGCACGGCCCGACAGTATATATACATAGCCATCTGCGTGGCTTTCTCTCTAACACCTACGATTACCGGCCTATGGGTTATCGTGACCCTCGGTCCGGCTCATCGTGCGGGGTTAATGGACGTAGCAGCTCGCGGCGGGGCCAATTAGCAGCCCGCCGAACGTCACATAGAGATATTCACCGGTCTGTGAGTTTTCAACTCAGACCCAAGTTAGTCGCACTGCCCTCGGAAAAACGAGGTTGAGTGCTTTGGTGCCCTCGGGCCCCATAGGCCACGTTTGGCAATAGTCACCTCACGCCTAATGGCATAGATTACATTGGGGTATGATCGTCGATCGGGCACGTAATGCCATGCGGACTAATGTGCAACCCTCAAATTAAAATGCGTCGTCGGGGCATCGCCCTTCTGGAGACGCTCAGATCGCTAATCAAAGCTGATCGAGAGTGGGCTAATCGAACCCACCAACAATTAAGTTTTTAATAAAAAAGTTGGCCGAACTAATTATCACCAGAGCTTCGCCCTGCATTATTTAATTTCGGGACATTTTTATCCCTAATAAATAATAGTGATGTACGGGTAGTAATAATAGTATTATCCTACCATAAGTCATTCAGATACGCTCCGTTCGCTAATTAAAGCCGATCGGGAGCGGGCCAACGGGTCCACAATAACCCATCATTAATTAAAATGACGGTGAAACTCATTATCACTTAGAGCATAGCTCGCACTATTTAATTTTGGGAGTTTTAATCCCTAATAAATAATGGTGATAAAAACTAATAGCAATAATATACCATTGTAAATTAATTAAAAGGGTAGGAACATGGACTTAGCTGGTGGAGACAAAGATTCGGCCAATTGGGAATTCCTGAGATTTATTTTGATTCCCTTTGGCTTTGACTTTGGCCAAAATTCTCCCGCTTTACCCGTCTGCTACCATTCATCTTCGGACGTGGCCCTTTAAGAGCCACAGCATTTGTTCGGTGTGCAGTACTCCGTATCCTCTGGAAAGCTGGCTGAAGCAACGGTTCACCAACCCAAGGCCACACGACGGAGGTACAAGCACTTGCAGCGGAAAAGGGGCGTCCGACTGGTCGGGTTCCGGTGGGAGATCTGCTACTCGAGCTTTGAGAGTACCCTCCCCGAGCTCCAAACCCCCGTTAATGGCAGAGGTCAAAGAAACTCCCAGTCGGCGGGTCCTCGCGTCGCGTCGGCAGAACAGGATGGCCGGTGGAGGACTGGAGGTTCGAGCCGCGGTTGACCAGGTGGTGTGACGACTCAGGCGGTGGTCGGTGAAACCAGATGCTGGCCACGAGCGACTCCGTTGCAGGCGGCGTTTCACCAGAAGCCGGGATCACCAAATGGAGCGCTGCCGCGAGCTCCATCCAGCGCGCGTACACTCGCCTAAGGTTTCATGGCGGCGGGAATGATGACGGCGGTTCCGGCGGTTCCGGCAGCTCTGGCAGTTCCTTCCCAGATCTGGAATTTTCCAGAATCATTTTCTCAGAAATTTTCTTCCTTCAGAATCTTCTTCCTCCTATTTTGCTTTCCAGAATCCTTTTTCTTTGTTGGAATCAGTCTACTCGTATGAATTTTTTGTAGAAACTCAATAGAAACTCAAGAACAGTAGAAATACATGAATCTTTTTGGACAGATTCCCACAGACGGCGCCAGTGTTGAGTTTAATCCAACACGATATAGTAAATATATGTATGAACACTCAGTTTTTACGTGGAAACCCGAAAGGAAGAAAACCACGGGACTTTTTAGGCTAATGTCCAAGCCCTCTCTTTCTCATTAGGACTCTCCTCACAATTACATTGTACAAGCTCCCATTAATGAAGTATTGAGCTAGGTCTAAAAGAAGGAGGAAGATGAAGCTAAAAGAGGATCCTTTACATGGAGGCTAAGCTCCGTATTTATAGGGGAAAGGAGAGAAGGGGCTCCCCACCCTAATGGGCCAAACGGGCCAATATTGGGCCTAATGGGCCGAAATGGGCCTAGCTGCTCGGGCTCCGTACTGGATAATGTCTTGGGCTCCTGAACAGTAATAGGCCGGGATAATATATCCCAACACTTATGTTTCACCAAAAAATCACTTGTTCATCACAATTTCATCGCGTTTTAAATAGACTCGACCGGATCAGATTAGAGGTAAGAAAAATTGAACCGCGACTCGAGAATCGACCCTGATTAGAATATGTTATTGGTTCCGGGTTTTCTCTTTTCTAATTCACGAAGAAAAATATAATAGATAGAAAAATATAATAGATACAAATATGTCCCGATATTTCTATCTATTACACCCCTCAATCTGTGCAGGAGAAACAACGCGTAGATTGGAACGCAAACTTTCAAAACGCTGACTAGATAAGTTTTTAGTAAAAATATCAGCTAATTGTAACTGTGTAGGAACATATTTGACAATGAGGTCTTCATGGGCAAAATGACACGTTCACTAATAAAATGATAATCAATCTTGATGTGCTTGCTGCGATCATGCTGAATAGGATTAGCCGCCAGATAGGATGCAGAAACATTGTCGCAGTGAAGCTGAACAGGTGAAGAAATATGGAGACCCATCTCGGCCATCAGGGAGCGAATAAATAAAGTGTCCTGAACAGTATATGCTATAGCTCTGTACTCCGCTTCAGTGGACGATTTGGAGACAGTGGGTTGCTTCTTGGACCGCCAGGAGATGAGATTTGGGCCCAAAAATATAGCATAACCAGTGGTGGAGCGACTGCTGTCCGGACAACCAGCCCAATCTGCATCAGAATAGGCAACAATAAGAGAGATATCAGGATTGGACTGGAGCCACAACCCATAATCCATAGTGCCCTGTAAATATCTGTAAATACGCTTCACAGCCAAAAGATGAGTAGTACGAGGCGCATGCATAAACTCTGAAACCAAGTGAACAACATAAGTAATATCAGGTCTAGTCAAAATCAAGTACTGTAAAGCACCTACCATACTGCGATACTCAGTAGCATCAGTGAGAAGTTCTCCATCTGTGAGAGAAAGAGTGGTACGCGAAGGTAAAGGAGTACGAACAGGTTTGACAGTGTGAAGATGGAAACGGCGTAACAAGTCAGAGATGTATTTATGCTGGGAAATAAACAAGCCCTGTGATGTACGCTTAGTCTGAAGACCAAGAAAAAAATGAATGTCCCCTAAGTCTTTCATGGCAAACTGAGTAGACAAAGATTGAATAATGGACCGAACAAGAGCAACAGATGACCCATTGATTAATATGTCGTCAACATAGAGGAGAATATAGACGACCAGTGACTGAGTACGGTAAACAAACATGGAAGAGTCAGATTTACTTTGCAAAATCCCCGGGATAAGAGAAAACCACTAAACCTGAGAAACCAAGCTCGAGGAGCTTGTTTGAGACCATAGAGAGCCTTTTTAAGGCGACAGACATGATGAGGAAAAGAGGGATGAATAAATCCCGGGGGCTGACGCATGAAGACTTCTTCTGTAAGATGACCATGTAGAAAGGCATTCTTCACATGTCACGCCCCGGACCTACCCGGACACGTCAACAATCCGCCGTACAGTACGAATAGTCAACCGCAGTTGATAAGTCCATTTTTGTACTTATTTTTCTTATCAAATTTAAGCGATTTTTGAATGAAAATAGAAAGAAAAGACACATTTTATATATTTTGGTTCAAGTTTCACGAAATCAGGTAAAAATCACATCCATAATATGTTTAGCGGGATTTCGGGTCAATTGAGCACAAAATGAGTCAATTTGAGTGACAAATGCATTTATACCGGAAGAAGCAAGCATTTTATCAGAGTGATTCAGAAGACAAAGTTGAAGAGCAGGAAAAGCCGCATCTGCCAGACAAAAGTGGCAGAAGGCGCCCAAATAGGCGCCCAAAATGGAGGCCTTCGCGGCCGCCTACGGTATTAAGTCTTCCACAAAATCGAGTAAGGACGATTTTAACTCTTCGAGTTCGTGTTGAGGATAAGGTGAAATTCCAGAGTTACCCTCGTAGGAGTACTCGTTTGTGCTGGTGTAATGATTTTCTAGCCTTTCTTGGTAATTTTCATGATAATTAGAATCATCATGATAATTACCTTGATAGGAGAAATCATCACAGCCTTCAAAGTCTTGCCCTTGGTGGAAATAATTATCTTGAAATTGGTAATCTCCATACCCCAAAGGTGGATTTTCGCACCATTGATTGTTATCCTCATAACCTTGTCCATAGTATCTTTCTATTTTCATTCAAAAATCGCTTAAATTTGATAAGAAAAATAAGTACAAAAATGGACTTATCAGCAGTCCAACACATCCATACTATACAAGGCGTCTGGGATATCGTTCACACATAGTACATCCATAAACAAACATAATGTAAAATATTCATTTAAAGCAGCGGAAACATTTAATACAAGTATTCATGCCACACTTTGGCAATCATGGGCATACAAGCCCCCAAATAATTATTCAAAAAAATATACCCATGAGCATTAATATAATTGTTTTTAAAACAGAATTGGAGGAAGCACGAACCACGTCTTCTCTCCTTGATCTTCCCGAAGCAATGGGTGATAGTAGCAACCTTCAAGTTCTACCTGAAACTGTGAGGTGGCCTCCCCCATGAAGGGGAGGTCAGTACTTGGAAGCATTTGACAAGTACAATGACAACTATACTAAGTATAATCAAAGTTTCAATTTCCAAGACCCTCAATCTAGGATGTTATTACTTTACAGTTAACTCACGTTCCTTCATGCTAGAGCTCGGCTCATAGTCATACTAATTTGTGCTAGAGCTCGACTCATAGTCACACTACATTTTGCTAGAGCTCGGCTCATAGTCATACTACATTTTGCTAGAGCTCGGCTCATAGTCATACTACATTTTGCTAGAGCTCGGCTCATAGTCATACTACATTTTTGCTAGAGCTCGGCTCATATTCATACTACCACGTGCTAGAGCTCGGCTCATAGTCACGTCATCTAATCCCTAAACAACTTCTTAGTCTAGGCTCCATCCATTTTGAGTAACCCTTAAGGCCTACTCCTAATGTAACTTGAGTTCATAAAGTCCACCTTAAAAATATCTTTTAAGGTTACTTAGCCCCCACCACAATTTAATATCTTGGGATTAGCTCCAAAGAACCATTGAACTAACATTTCCGACTAGTATTTCTATACTAGTCGTTTAATCTTAATATAACCAATGCAAATTCATAATAGTTCGTATGTTTCAATTTAATTCTACATTCAAGTATAATTTGGCTCTAATATCAAAATATAACTTTTATCCTTCCATGACTTCTTTACATGAGGTAAAAGTATATTTATCACAATGAAATTCACGGTTAATACAACTATCATGCCATTTTATTCATAACACATAATCATACACAATTTATTCATAAATTTGTATATTATGCATTTTTACTTATAAACAATAATAATTTCATTTAGGCATTTTTAATCATTAATAAACCATGCCAAACACATTTAATTCATTTAGGTAATCTTATAAAATTAACCCAATAATTATAAGCAATATAGTCAGTCATCCTCACCTTAAGTGAGCTTAAGCGCGTTCTACGCTCCCCGATTGAATTTTGGCTAATTCCGGCGAACATTGACCAACTCCGGCGAAACTCCGGCGAAGCTCTAAAATATTTTAATCAAGTTCCTAACAAGGTTTTAACATCATAAAACCTTAATCAATACAAATAACCTCTACAAGGTCATTTTCTGGCAAACCGGTCGTTTTGGCTTCTATGTCCGTTTTTTGACATAGAACCACCTTCCAACCCATCATTCTACACTTTTAATATGGTAGAATAATACTTGGGTTATCCTTAAAGTTTTGAATAATAATCTCTTCAAGAAAAGGAGGAAGGAAGTAAATGAACTCATTACCTAGCTTTTCCTCACTTTTTGCACCTTAGCCCCTTTCTTGAGTTTCCTTCTTGTTGAGCTCTCTTCAACAATGGAGAATGAAAGATGGAGAAAGTTTTAGCTCTTGCTTGGGGTGTGCTGGCCGCAGGAATGAGGGAGAGAAAAGGGTGAGGATAGTTGTTTTGTCTTAATGAACAAATGAGTGTGGATGGGGGTCCAACTCATTTTGTTTGATGCCATTTCTTTCACCTCAAATCCCCTCCCATGCCCTCCTATCCTACCAGCCGGCCACCCTCTTTATTTTCAAGACAAAATTTGTGGGTTGGCCCCCACCCAAAAGTGTACAATCGGTCCCGAAAGTTGTATTTTTTGGACTGTTTTAAATATATTTTATTTTATCGGGTCAAATAAAATATATTATGTGTTCTTAATCATTATACCCTTGATAATGAATATGCATTTCCTAACTTAAATTTATAAGTCTCCGGAATTCATTTCGGGCTATTATCTGTTAAATTACCAATGCCGGTAATTGAGCCTCTTTTGACCAATCGGTCAACTCTGGACCTTTACATGGCTCAAATGAAGTATCCACCACCATATGGATATTATCTAAATCAAGATGAATAAGATATCTGGTCTCGGGAACATCAGGCTGCCCCCGCTCCCGGTGTGGGCCCCACGTGCGAATTTACAATTCACGCAAAAGAATTAATAAAAATTCACAGCTTCGTATTAACCATTCTATAAGGTTCAATACATTATTCACTTAAAAGTAAATACATTTGGGGACGGTGTTACATCACATCTAACTGACGCATACACCATCCACGAGCAATAGCAATAGATAAGACCAAACGAACAGTGGTGGGCTTCACAACGGGGCTAAAAGTTTCAGTAAAGTCTACACCGGCCTGTTGCT